ATAGATAAAGAAGAGAAAGGGTCGAGCAGCTTGAAGAGAGAAGGAGTGAGAGAGGAAATTCACAGCTGAGAGAGGGAATGACGACGAAGATGTAAAGAAGAGCTGGGTTTCGTTACGTTACACGACGACACAACCAATAGAGAAAGTAAGAGGAGGAGGGTTACGCAGGTTATGCGATGCGATGACGCATGGTTGGAAGAAGAAGGAGAAAAAGAGAGAGAAGAATCATGGTTGGGTAGAGAAAGGAAGAGAGAGAGAGAGAAGAAGAAGATGAAGAAGAAAAAAAAAGAAAAGAAAAGAAAAGAAAAAAAGAGAGAGAAAGAAACAAAAAAAAAAGAAAAAGAAAAGAGAAAAAAAAAAGGGATGAAAAGAAAGGAAGCGTAGCAACCAGATATATTGTTGGTACGCCGTACGCAGCTGCGGATATTGATCCCAGTATTGATGCGTGGCATTTTCGATGACATGCATATGGTAGCGCGTGGTGACGCTACCGACCCAGACTGCGTGTCTCAAAGTAAAATTCGTTCCTCATTTTGTGTTATATAGTTTTTGAAATTATTAATAAATTAACGTATATTTTCCGTTGTAAACGAAAAAAATTATCTAAATGATATCCAGATTTCCGAGAGGATTTTAGGTTAAGTCATAAAGGATTCCTAAAGTTTTTTCAACCATACCATAGGTAAGAATTATATGTATTATGTACGGAGACATAAATTATATGTTTATGTAAATGTGTATATGTATAGTGCATTATGTATAAATGTTTAAATGTATATGTACTATAATATAAATATAATTAGTGTGTCTAATTTATATTTGTGTGTATCTATATAGTGTATATATATCTATGTTGTTACGCATGTGTGTGTATGTATATATAAAAATATACGATAGATAAGATATGAATTAATAAAAATATAATTGATAAGAACATAACTGATAAGAACAAATGCGTGAATAAATATATATATATATATATATATATATATATATATGGTATGTTATATAATATATGTGTGTGTATTAATATATGTGT